TTTTTTTTTCCATTTCTGCATTTAAAATGATTTTGTTTCTTTTTAATTGAAAATATTGGCTGACATTAATTAGGTGATTGGCTGACATTAACTGGGTGATTGGCCGATATTAACTGGCAAATTAAAATACGGATTTTCCACACAGGCAAAACTTGAATACCAAGAGGTGAACTCTAGGAACAATGAATCAAATTATACTCAGAAATTTTAAGAAAAAAAAATTGTTGAAGTTTAAACAAAATTAAAAATGTATCCATCAAATTGTGTTGGTTGAAAGCTCAATAAGAAAAACACGATCCCTTTGTAAACTTACGTAGACCCTGGATGCCACCAGACAACATTTGAGAGTTGGCGAGACTACATGGTGCACTGATGACAGAGTGTCATCTATGACGTTGGCAGATGAAAACCGGGGCCCTCTGCAAAATAGGACGAATAGAATAACACTCACTAGTACTGCGACAAGAATTTGAGAACCCCTTTCATTGTTTTCTTTAGTCAGGGCTTTTTTGTTTTTGTTCAGTGTGAATCCAATGAGATGACAAAGTCTAGGTCCAAATAGAAAAATTCATCAATTTATTATCTCCTCGGATATAACACCAAGAAAAATTAATTTTTATAGTCATAATTTTTTTTTAAATTTACAACTGAAGCATAGATTATAACAGACTTTGAAGAAAAAAAAGAGTGGGGTGGGGGGGGGGGCTTTTAATGGGAGAACAAATAATATGTGAAAAAAATGCTGTATACTTTTATTTTCAGAAAAGAAAGCTTTTTTTTTCTGATTAATTTTTATGAAGCTATTACTGCTTTAAATTGAAAACAAATTATTTTTTAATATATTATATATATTGTACATGTTAGTTCCAGTGAAATAAAAATTGAAACAAAAATAAATAAAAAAAACAAAATGTAAAAAGAAAGAAAACAATTTTTACCAACTTAAACAATTGAAATTATGGGACCTGATTTTGGTTATCTTCATAAGATGGTCAATTTCCACATTTTTCCCTTCTCCTTGGTTACAAATATGACAGCCAGGCAGGCCAGGTAAAGGATCCCTGTCGGTATGGATATTGCCCCTGTGCTGCTGTTTGAGAACTCCTCATTTAGAATGTTAACACATTTTTACAAGAACTCTTCTAAGTGGGCGGCCTGGGGGAAGGGGGGAGTAGTTTTACTTCCTAGACACACAGCATAAAGAAACACAATAAAACCGCTTGCATGAATTTATTATTATTTATTTTTATTTAACAATGAAACAAAACCAAAAACCAGGTCAAAGGTCACTACAATAACTTAAACATGAGGATGCCAGGTTTTTTTATGTTATGTTCAGATAATAGACCAACATAGGGTCACTGGGTGGCCGAGCGGTCTAAACTGACTCAAATCAAACAGCTGGTGGTCTGGAGTTCAGTCCCCACCAAAGCCAACATGCCAAGCCCCCCGGGGGGACGGGACTCGCCAGCCCTGGATGGGGGCAACCCATCTAAGAGAAGGCAAACTCTGATCTGAATTCGAACCAGGACACAGAATGATTGTGGGCCCTCAACTATATGAAGAAGAAGAAGAACAGCAGTGCTACATAACAGATAGCAGTGAGATTAGTTGGCGCACAAGGTGTTTTTCTTTCTTAAATATATAAGATTATGTACATTCGGTGTAGACACCCCTGGCTGATGTCAAGTTTTCTAATATATATAAAAATGTAGCTAAATATATATAATATATATAATGGGACCTATTAACATTTAGTAGTTGGTGATAAAAAAAAGTTTTCAATTCATGTGTGCCTGGCCTATAGTTTCATGTACTAACTCACATTCCAAAATTTACATCAGATTTCATGCTTAAATTTTATCAGGATAATAAGTGCAGATGGGGGATGGGGGGGGGGGGGGNGGGGGGGGGGGGGGGGGGGGGGTGGGGGGGGGCTTGCGATCAGGTTAGGTAGCACAATGGTACGGGAGCCTAAAAAAAAAGGGACAAGGCGAAATAACCAGATGTGTCTGCAGAAAGCCATCTTCAGCAAACAAACACGAGTGGGCAACGAAATAAACTAAACTAAAAATCTCAAAATAAACCATCTGATGCTGTGGGGAGTTGGAGGAAAAAACAATTCATGGTAACTGGATCCAAGCTGGCCTTTTTTGTGGGTCAACGATTAAGTGTTATCAACGATTAAGTGTTATCAACGATTAAGTGTTATCAACGATTAAGTGTTATCAACGATTAAGTGTTATCAACGATTAAGTGTTATCAACGATTAAGTGTTATCAATGATTAAGTGTTATCAACGATTAAGTGTTATCAACGATTAAGTGTTATCAACGCCCACATCCAGGGTTGTACTTATTTATATGTCCCTAGAGCAAGCCTTACATTTAATTTTACTCTTTACCTAATTTACTCTTTGATAGGGAAGACCACATTTAAATATAATTTACTCTTTGCTGGAGAAGGCAAACTTTAAAGTCTCACATTTTGGCACCCAGTACCATTTTCCAATCTTTAAAAAAAAAACTTAACAGAAATGAGTTGATAATGCTCTACCAGCAACGTCTCAAAACCAAATATCTGGGTTATCCCCTTATTCTGAAAGTATACAGGACAACTAAGACTACACTGGGCACTGCACTGACAAGACAACCAAGGAATTGTTCGCCAATTACTTTCCGACCTGGAGGGTCAAGAATTTGTGACACTTTGAGACAGGGAGGGGGTAAAAAATTTGTGGCGTCACGATGTAAAAAAAAAAATCTATAATTCTTTAATTTTGAAAAAACTGTATTCACTTAATTTTAAAAACATTCACTTGAGGTCCAAATTGCCTCAGGTATTATAGGTACCATAAAACTCAGTTGCACATATAGAAAAATGACGAATAAACTGTTGAGACCAGTTTACATTCAGCGCGTGGACCACTTTGTTGTTTCACGTCACAGTTTTCTAATAATACTACATCTTAATCCATTATGGGCAAACGTTAAAAGATTAAAATAAAATCTTAGATTAGTTATGAAAATTTTATGTAGATTTTGATTTTTTTTATGTGTGATGTGACGGGGTGGTGGGGGGAATGAATAATTTGTGACGTGGGGGTGGGGCTGAAAGGTCATTTTTAGCGTGAAGTAATTTGAGAATAACCACCCCCAAGGCTATACCAAACACTGCACTGACAAGACAAACAACGCTGCACCAAACACTGTATTGACATGACGTCCAAACACTGCACTGACAAAGACAAACAATGCTACACCTAGCACTGTGTTCTTGACAGCTGTCAGTCTAGAAAAAATGATGACGTAGCTTCTTTACAGCTCATATTTTTTTTCTTTTCTTAATGTTTTATTTCAACATACACGAGAGAAGGTGACAACGTCAATCCCGTTTTTGCGTGGCTTCCTCTTCCTAACAGTCAATTTATTCTACATACACCTGAGTGGATCAGCAGCAATGGGACGTGAGAGAACAATCACAAGGCGATACAGCTTGCAGCATTATGGACATTTTATATGTTGCTCAGATTTTCTGTAGAAAAAGAAAAGATTATGTATGCATCATGACACCATCTGTCTCATCGAAATGGTCATCAGGATAATTTGATGTCAGAAATAAAAATAAAATGTTATAACAAGTGCATGAAAAGATATACGTCTCTATTTCGACAGCCTTTTTCCTAAATGATATGAATAAAATCTGTACTTTTTCAATTCTACAAAGAATTTAACCCCCCAAAAAAGTTTTAAAAAAATGTTGGTACAGTGTCATCCAGCCCTGCTACAATACACGCTCACACATTCAATGGCACATTCATTTTGTTTTAAAAGAAGGTGAATGAAAAAAAAAAGTAGGCTTATCAAAATGTATATTACTTTACAACACAACCAAATTAAAATTAAAAAAAAAATCTATCTTCCTAATTTTTAAAAATTCGTATGTGACTTCCAAGGAAATATGTAAAACCCTACATTGCGGTAACCGCCAATTTTTTTTAACCAAAATTAGTCTTAGAAAAGTTTCACTGCATTGAGACAGAGTAGCCACTAATAATTATGCTACCGATGTATTAATTCATGTGAGGTTTCACTGCGTTGAGACAGAGTAGCCACTAACAATTATGTTGTTGATGTATTAATTCATTTGAACAGAAAAGGCTGATATTAATTAGAGTTTATATTTAAAAATGTTCTCAATTTCTGCATCTCTTTAAAAAAAAAAATTCCCTTCAAGCTGAGTCCATCAGGAATACCCCTGCACCAGTCTCAACCTGATTGGTGTAACGACCTGCATCAAGGAGCCCAAGCTTACTTCAGGCTTAGGCCCACAATTATTATTATTTCTATAACTTACAAATCAGATTATTTTTTAAAAAATGATAATTTTAACAATTCATGTATCTCAATCTCACTCAAAGTTATGTTTTATTTTTACTTTAATAAAACTTTTAAAAAACTTCCAACTACAAGCAAGAGAGGATGAGTGCATGGATTCCTGTTCAAACAAAATGAGCTTACTAAAGTGGGCCACTCTATAGTATGAGCACATAATAAAAATATTAGAAAGCAAAAAAAAAGGAGTTGTTAGATTTTATCCTGTTCAAGCCCAGAACTGTAAGTTCATCAATCATATCTATCTTTACATCACAAATCAGTCAACAGTTACTGTCATCGTCTCGATCCATTCCATACTTAGAACCTCAGTGAAAGCATTCAACATAGACACGGACACGTGAGAAGATGCGGCAAAGGACCAAGCATAGTTGCATTTCTCTGTACACAAAGGCTCCATACAACACAAAGCCAACAGCATTGCGGCTGCAGAGCACAAATGAAGTGCCAGGAAGGCCAACTCTGCACCTGGAGATGTCCCATCATTTCCTCTGCACTTACTGCACAAGAACATTTCGTGCCAGCATCGGTCTCATCAGCCATCTGCGCAGCGACAGCCAATTTAACAGCTAGCATATAGGGTGATTAAGATGGTCATAGTCAATTTCACCATACACACCAAAGCTTACCTGATATCTTTGACAACACGCTTGAGAGATATTCTTTGCTGTTGTAGTCTCTTCTGTTTGACAGTGACACGCTTAAATCATAGCCAGGGCCGTACTTCAAAAAATGCTGGAAAATGAAATGACTAACCTTCAAACTACACAGAGACAAATAAAAACACATCCAAACAAAAAAACATTAATTTAAAAAGTGATTCATGTTGTGACATCATTCATATTTATCTGTATTTGAACCACCCCTGAAAACAAAGTTTTACAGTAAAATTCTAATGTACCACCCACTTTTACACCGCAGATTTATCTTGCCAACTATTTCAGAAAAACAAAAGGAAATATTACGCTCTAAATGATATTTTTAATAATCTTATTTAGCGCAGTTATGTAGAATTTTTTTGTGTGAAATCATTGGCATCATATTTCCTTCATCTTCCCCTTGAAAAAAAGGAAAAATTGATTTTTGAGAGTTGGGCTGAAAATTTGATAAAACGTGTTGTCATCGGCAACGGGTTTATGTGTCGAGTTTCAGCTCGATAGGTTGACGGGAAAGGGGTTAGCCCCACACCCAGCCAGAAAGAAAGAAACACATGGACAGAAGCGAAGTTAATATGAAGGATTAAAAACATTTATTAAATGAACTTAAATAAAACGGTAGTTGGAATAGCCCCTAAATAAACAACATGCAATGACACCAAACGGGTTTCCCCACACAGGGGCAGGGATGAGGAAAAAAAATTTGGTAGCACTAATTGAACTCCTTGTTTCTCAACTTATTTATGGGTTAGGTGTAAAAAAAAAAGTCATTTCTAGAATTAAAAAATGTGTTGCACCACTTGCCTCATGTTCAGGAATGTCCGCAGGAAGCTTCAGCTTGGCAGCCAGCGCTGTGATGAATGCCCAACATTTAGATGTGGAGGAGAAGTTGTAGCCGCCTGCAGAGAGGAAGAAGTAAATTATGAGGTCAAATGTCTTATTTGACAACTCACGGGGTCAAATATCTTATTTGACAAGGCCAAATATCTTATTTGATGAGGTCAAATATCTTATTTGACAAAGACAAATGTCTTATTTGATGAGGTCAAATTTCCTATCAGTTGACAGTAAATTTACTGCACAAAAGAAATCAAATTTATTTTTAGAGTTTTCTGCATTATGTCAGTAATTGTTTTCTAGGTCGTTAACCTTACCATGGCCAAATGCATTGTTTGGTAGTGCCAAGCAATTTTTACATTTTCATGTGCTTGTCAAAAGAAGACAAAATCCCATACTAAATGACAAGTATACATTTTTTGAAAGTACATTGGACAAGGTATCTTACGGTGCAAAAAGAATTTGTTTTTATATTGTGTATGTTGAAGTTAAAGCTTGACCTTTACAAAGTGAGTTAAATGTTAGTACTCAACTTCTGAATTGAACCCAGTCTAAATACTCCATAAATTGTTCAAACTGTCATAAAATCATGTTTTTTGAGATACTAGAAGCAATATTCTTTCAGAACATGTCAAGTTATAGGAACTTTTGTGAAAAATTGTGATATTGGTGAATTGTTTCATTGACTACCTTCAAATTTCTGTCGTACAAAATACAAGGAGGGAAGGCACAAAATGAGTTAAAAAATTCCTTTTCAATTGAAGTTATTAAATCCATTTTTTATTTATTAATACTCCTGAACATACACAAACATAAATGTGTTTGAATCTCTTAAGGGTAGGTCTTTGGGATCCAATCATTTGTCATTCCTGTTTGATTTCCTACCTCTTCCCAAATGAACTCGTCTGTAACATAAGGACTAAGCTTATAACTAAAATTGTCCATATTTATTTATTTATTTATTTAGGCATTTTTATATAGCGCTTATCATAAAGCTCTAAGCGCTTTACAATTATTAAAACATGTAAACTAAGTAAAATAAAAATGAGACACTAGGATAGTAACTACTATTCTATAGAAACAATGAAAATGGCTATAAAAAGAGGACACTTTGACACTTCAGGATTAAGCCGTCCATATCTATCTCTTAAGTCGCCAACACCACTAGAGCTGATGCTGTCATTTCTAGCTTGCGGTACATCTCTGAAATCATTGTCCTCATTTAATTCCATTTGAAATGATTGCAATAAAAAAAATTCCATGTTGATTTTGCAATCTAGAGGGGGGGTGAAACCTCTCCAGCATCAGACATTATGGCAGTCATATAAATGTGGGGAAAATTCACACCCAATTAATCACACAAAAATCCCAGATGGTAACGGAATTAGGAAGCAATCTCATTTATGTAAAGTTATTTCCCCTTAACCAATATACATCAAATCATTGGCATTGCTAATGACAATTTTGTTAGCTTGTCGTGACACCACAGAAAGGTGTTCCACCGCCGATCTTCTGCCAATATGACAGTTATTTTGTTAAAACTGTAATTTTCAAATACCTACCACCTCCCAGAATGATAGTGGGTAGATTCCAGGTCAGCAAAAAACAGACAGATCTGGCTATCCCAAGGTGTGTCAGGTTGAAGGAAGCCATAGTGTCTTCGGACAGGCTGTCTGCACCACATTGGATGACAAGAGCCTGGGCTTCGAACTTCTCTTTCACCAGTTTCATCACACTATCAGCATTCCGATGAAATAAACGTCAAGTAAAACAGTTGTTAAAATTTATTTAGAAAATTAAAATAATGTTTTTGGATTGCAATATAATTTGAAGTAAAGATTTAAATAATAATCAAGTATAAATCAATCAATATAATTCTCTAGGTACGTATGGTGTAAAATTCTCGATAACTGCGAAAATTGAGATTCTTAAAAATACCACAACATTTTTTTTTTGTTGTGCAGACATGGTCCCACTTTAATATGACTTAATAAACCTGCCATGTAAAAGGGGGTGAGGCATAAAATAAAAATATCAAAATAGTTCAGGGGCGTGAAAAAAAGTTTGAGGGGCTAACCTGTGGGGAGGGAGTGAGTTAGCACTAATTGGGATTCTTAGAAGGTCTGTTTAACTGAACGCATGTTTTGACAATTAACTTTGGCAGATCGGATGTCCATGCATTGCCGTCGCTAATGTCTGGCGAGCTATAACAAGCTCTTATAAATAATTAGACAAACCAGTACAAATAAAAAAATTATTAAGCCAAAGTAATTCAGTGTTACATTAATGCTACTTACCTGTGAAATATAGTGAAAAATTGAGCATCCGTAATCCCATCCATCAGTGGAACATTAACTGCATAAAACTTGCCCCGTCCAGTTCCAATGTCTTCGACCCTGCCAGTGCCTACGAAGACAAGTAAATGACAACTTAGCTTACAAGTCTTTGCAACAACCATTTCGCATCAAATATAAAAAAAATTTGACCGTCATGTGTCCTACAATTATGAAAGACAATGGGTCCTAAGAATGGGGTTACGAAAAAAATCAAATCTGAGAGTTTAATTAGATCGTACGAGCAGCTAATAAAATATGAAAAAGGCTGACCAGGGAAAAATCCCAGAGCATGTTTGTGAAATGAAACCGTCATCACTTTGGATGTCATTGCAAACGCCTCCTCAACACCTGGATAATACACACACAAAAATTAGATATCAAACGAGTAAATGCCACACAAGAAAAAAGTTCTCAAATGAAAGGTATTAAACACTGAACCTTCTCTAACTAAGCTTCCATGTATTCCTACAATATTTTAATTAATCTTTAGGTTCTGAACCTTCTCTAACTAAGCTTCCATGTATTCCTACAATATTTTAATTAATCTTTAGGTTCTGAACCTTCTCTAACTAAGCTTCCATGTATTCCTACAATATTTTAATTAATCTTTAGGTTCTGAACCTTCTCTAACTAAGCTTCCATGTATTCCTACAATATTTTAATTAATCTTTAGGTTCTGAACCTTCTCTAACTAAGCTTCCATGTATTCCTACAATATTTTAATTAATCTTTAGGTTCTGAACCTTCTCTAACTAAGCTTCCATGTATTCCTACAATATTTTAATTAATCTTTAGGTTCTGAACCTTCTCTAACTAAGCTTCCATGTATTCCTACAATATTTTAATTAATCTTTAGGTTCTGAACCTTCTCTAACTAAGCTTCCATGTATTCCTACAATATTTTAATTAATCTTTAGGTTCTGAACCTTCTCTAACTAAGCTTCCATGTATTCCTACAATATTTTAATTAATCTTTAGGTTCTGAACCTTCTCTAACTAAGCTTCCATGTATTCCTACAATATTTTAATTAATCTTTAGGTTCTGAACCTTCTCTAACTAAGCTTCCATGTATTCCTACAATATTTTAATTAATCTTTAGGTTCTGAACCTTCTCTAACTAAGCTTCCATGTATTCCTACAATATTTTAATTAATCTTTAGGTTCTGAACCTTCTCTAACTAAGCTTCCATGTATTCCTACAATATTTTAATTAATCTTTAGGTTCTGAACCTTCTCTAACTAAGCTTCCATGTATTCCTACAATATTTTAATTAATCTTTAGGTTCTGAACCTTCTCTAACTAAGCTTCCATGTATTCCTACAATATTTTAATTAATCTTTAGGTTCTGAACCTTCTCTAACTAAGCTTCCATGTATTCCTACAATATTTTAATTAATCTTTAGGTTCTGAACCTTCTCTAACTAAGCTTCCATGTATTCCTACAATATTTTAATTAATCTTTATGTTCTGAACCTTCTCTAACTAAGCTTCCATGTATTCCTACAATATTTTAATTAATCTTTATGTTCTGAACCTTCTCTAACTAAGCTTCCATGTATTCCTACAATATTTTAATTAATCTTTAGGTTCTGAACCTTCTCTAACTAAGCTTCCATGTATTCCTACAATATTTTAATTAATCTTTAGGTTCTGAACCTTCTCTAACTAAGCTTCCATGTATTCCTACAATATTTTAATTAATCTTTAGGTTCTGAACCTTCTCTAACTAAGCTTCCATGTATTCCTACAATATTTTAATTAATCTTTAGGTTCTGAACCTTCTCTAACTAAGCTTCCATGTATTCCTACAATATTTTAATTAATCTTTAGGTTCTGAACCTTCTCTAACTAAGCTTCCATGTATTCCTACAATATTTTAATTAATCTTTAGGTTCTGAACCTTCTCTAACTAAGCTTCCATGTATTCCTACAATATTTTAATTAATCTTTAGGTTCTGAACCTTCTCTAACTAAGCTTCCATGTATTCCTACAATATTTTAATTAATCTTTAGGTTCTGAACCTTCTCTAACTAAGCTTCCATGTATTCCTACAATATTTTAATTAATCTTTAGGTTCTGAACCTTCTCTAACTAAGCTTCCATGTATTCCTACAATATTTTAATTAATCTTTAGGTTCTGAACCTTCTCTAACTAAGCTTCCATGTATTCCTACAATATTTTAATTAATCTTTAGGTTCTGAACCTTCTCTAACTAAGCTTCCATGTATTCCTACAATATTTTAATTAATCTTTAGGTTCTGAACCTTCTCTAACTAAGCTTCCATGTATTCCTACAATATTTTAATTAATCTTTAGGTTCTGAACCTTCTCTAACTAAGCTTCCATGTATTCCTACAATATTTTAATTAATCTTTAGGTTCTGAACCTTCTCTAACTAAGCTTCCATGTATTCCTACAATATTTTAATTAATCTTTAGGTTCTGAACCTTCTCTAACTAAGCTTCCATGTATTCCTACAATATTTTAATTAATCTTTAGGTTCTGAACCTTCTCTAACTAAGCTTCCATGTATTCCTACAATATTTTAATTAATCTTTAGGTTCTGAAGCTGCTAATTAAAATTAATTCAATTTTTAAAAATTCTAAAATTTCTGAAGAGGATGTGTTCAAGATGATATAGTAAAATTTCAAGATGGCAAGAAATGTTGTTCCTCGAGTGCGACACTTCATTTTGATTTTCATTAACAATAGATTTAACTTAATGCTGTTGATGTGGTCAGTTTGAGGGACACAAAACTAATCACTGGATCGGTTGTACTGACCATCACCGTGATGCAGGTCAAGGTCAACGTAAAGCACCTTGTCAAACGTCTCCCTCAGCTTCAGGATGCTCAGGACAATGTCATTGAGGTAGCAAAAACCAGAAGCACTGTCTCTAGAAAGCAAAGATGTTAATGCAGGGCAATTATCAAAAGAATAATTCAGGATAGAAAAGAGAAGTAAAAAATGGTGTTGATAGATCAACATTGCTAAAATGGTGTTGATAGATCAACATTGCTTTTGTATTTATTTTTACAATCAGGTGTCATGTATTTTGCAAGGTTGAACACTAATAATTATGTAATTTATCAACCTGTCCAAGCTCTTTAACATCATAAACAATTTTTTTATTTTCATAAAAAAGGTATGGAAATGCTGATAGATATTTAGCTAGCAATATAAAGTAAGAATAACTTTAAGCAGTTTTTAAGGGATTGTGTTCATAATGTATTTCCATTTTTGCTTTCCCCGATAGACTTGTAAAAAAAGAAGCACGTTCTCTAAATAAATACCTCTTTGCGTGATGCCATCCACCGAACCAGTTTATCGCTATGTTGGCTGAGCCATCCAGCAGTTTCTCAGCCGCAACAATGGATGCCCCACAGATCAAACTGGTGGTTTCAAAAATTTCACTCTGTATTTGACAGTCGTAGCCTGTTTGAAAAATTAAGCACAAAGAAAAAAAAAACATTAACTTTATGTGTCATAATATTTTCCCATCAATTTATTTTATTTTTAGAATAAGAGAAACCCAAATATTATTTTTTGAATTAAAAATCTTTTTTAAAAACAATATTTAAACTTTATGCTTGTACCGGTTCACATTTCCCTCACAGCTGTACACAGAGTCTCCAGTATTAATTCTCCCAGTGCTTATCTTACAAAATTTTCTTTTAGAGATAGTCATTTATCTATTTCAATAAAGTGTGTTTTTTTTCTCCCCTGTATGCTAACAGTTTTTTTGCTTTTGTTTTTGTTCTTTTCCTGTCCGCCTTTACCGGGGATGCGCAATGGAGCGGTATAATTCAACTGTTGCTGCAAAATGTGAGGCCTGCCAGAGACACATGGTGTGGATTTTTAGGGTGCCCCCAACACAGTCAATCCAACAATGGTGCAGCCTTCCTCTGGCCCTGAAACCTGCTGTTGCCAGCTTTCCAATGCAGGTTGAATGACAGTCATTCTGACCAGGGGGTGAAACAAATTAGTTTGTTTTTGGGCCATATACTGGCTGATTGGGATGACAACAACCTTTCTTCTTATTTCAGGGCTCTTTTGTAAACACCTCACATTAACTAACTGATTAAATTATAGACAATGAAATTTTCTGTTGCTTTAGCATTCAGTTATTTACCTAGTCCATAGTCCTCTACATCACCGTGAGATTTCTCTTGAGTCTCCTCACTGTCTGTCGTTGTACTGACAGCCCTGAGAAAGTTGATGTAGTCCAGACTATGGAAGCCCATCAGTTCACTCTCTGTGGCCGGGCGTGGTGCTATCACCCTAAGGACGATATTTTTGTTTTTAAAAATCATATCACTCCATCAGTCGAATCATTCTCACAAGAATACTCAGCTTGGTGATGGTCTTACTTTTTAAGCATTTTGCTAACCAATTCTTTGCCTCACTATCCTCTGAGATTTAAGTCGAGGCCTTCAAATCTTATTCAATTTAGTTATATGTGTTAGAACATGTAGGTTACTTGTTTAGAAATTTATTAATTAGGAATCTTGTGAACACAATTCCATTGGTTACAAATGTGAGAGGCCAAAACAGTTTTTTGAAAATGCTATGTAAGTAAAAATAAATTTCAGCAGCACTACTGTAAAGTGCATAAAAAAGACAGAGAAAGTTGACCAATGTGCACAAAAAATAATACTAATAATGATAATACTAAAAATAATAATACAAATATTAATAATAAAAATAATTATAATAATGAGGATAATAATAAAAAATAATGATAATAATAAAAATAATAATGATAATAATAAAAATATTAATAAAAGAAATTTGACTCACTTTGTATAGTGCAATATTCCATAAGCTTTGATCAGACTGTGAACAAGTTCAGCCTATAAATAAGACTAATAGCCATCAGACTTAAGTTACAGTTACTCTGAGTTACAGTGCTTAACAAAGATGGTTTGCGACTTACAATTAAAAAAACAAAGTCATAAAAAAGTCAAGTGCTTGTAAATTTGAAAGTTCAATATTTCATGGAGCCTTCTAAACTGTGCAAAGTTTTAAACCATAAATTTTACCTACCCTTCCTTCTATCCTAATAAGTTTATTTGTCTTTACCAACAGCTCGTCACTGTAAATGTACGCAACCATTTTGGGCTTTCTCGCCTCCTGTCTTTGTATTGCACTGGACAGTCCAACCGCGTTGATGTCCTCCTTCTGTCTCAGATCCGTGATCTCAGAGCTTTCCCAGATTAATTTCTTTTCAGCTGGTATGTTCATTTTTGGTGAATCAGCCTCTTCCACTGGCAGATCTAATGGATGACCAGATTTTTCCACTAAACCATTTACACAATCTGCACCACTTAATCTCCTTATCAGAGAATCAGCATCGTTGTCATTGACTGATGTTTTAGCTGCGGTGCTGTCTTGTGGAAAATCTTCATCATTGGGTTCCTTTAATTTTTCCTGTGAATTATTCACACGGTTGGGATCAATGGGTCCAATTTTAACAGAGCCCCATAACTCTTGAAAACAATCCTCAGGTGACACATCGAACGGATTTTTACATTTTTCTACACAAGTCTTGTCAGAATGTGTGCCAATCAGTTTCCCACTGACAGTCCTGTGTGGCTGTGGTGAGCTTTTGTCTTTCACTGAAAGATTAAATGGATCCTTGCCTTTTTCTAAAGAATTATGCTTACTTCTTGTTCCATTTAATTTCCTTCTGAGGGGAACATATTTTTCTTGTGAGCTGTCTTCATCAAAAGAAAGATCAAAAGGGTCTCTAAAGTTCTGGGCCACAGTCTTTTCATGGTTTGCACTATCCGAATTCCTTCCAACAAGTGAGTATAGACTTTGAGATCCATCTTCTTGTGAAGAAAGGTCAAATGGTTCTTTGCATTTTTCTATTAAAGTTTTCTCACACTCCACTTCATTTAATTTTCTTTTAACAAGTCTACAGGGTGCTTGAGGGCTCTGTTCAGAAGAATGAACAAATGGATTGTCACAATGTTCATGTTTATTTTGTTCAGTGTCTGTACCACTTAACTTTCTTTTGACAGGCCTGTATACTTCTCTGCAAACGTCCTCTTCAGAAGAAATATCAAACTCATCCTTTACAACTCCATCCAAATTATTGTCTCTCTTGCTTTGAAAGACACTTTCATCATGATTTGGTTGGCAGTGAACACTTCTCTCTGTTATTGTCTGACAATGTGAACTAAATTTCAACAAGCTTTGGCTACAAGATATAGGTGGGGTTTTATTCAGTTGTTTACCATTATCATTAATTATGTCACTTTTTGTTGCCGCAGTCTTCTCTGCCAGTTGTAATATGTCACAGCAAGCTTCATCCGTGTCGCTCGCTCTGTCTGAAACACTTGTTATATCAGCCATGTTTATCAGCTCAGTTTAAATTATTGCTTGTGGTTTCCCTATATTAAAAACAACCTGTAATTGAAAAGAGAATCATTGTTTAAGTACAACCTTGAACAGGAGTATGGTATGTCTCATGAAAATGAAGTGTGATAAAGGCCTATTATACAACCATAAGCCGAATAAATAATTCAGTTAGATCAGTTGGAATTTATCCATAAACATTTTTTACCTTTTGATTATTAAAAGCAGTGGCAAATGTTGACCAATTTTCTTCTCTTTTTTTGTATGTGATCAAATACAATTTCTCTGAGAGAATTTATTAAACACCAATATTAATCATGTTCAACAGTCACAAATCACTGCTGTGAAATGTGATGCAGATGTCTGTACAGTGCTGTACAGAAACAACAAAAATTTCAAACATTAAAATAACTTGAAAGTATCAATTTTAATTTTTTTTAACAGGGTTTATCTGTATTACTTAAATTAATCATAGTACCGGTACATAAAGTTTAAGAAATCTTCTGTGTAGTAATAATCTCAAGGGCTACTAGACTAAACAATTTATTAGGCCTATGCCATTTAGGAATGACTAGAAGCACTAAATTTTTTTTTTTTTTTAAAGATTGCTTAAAGACACAAGGTACCTTCTATAAAGTATGTCACAGTACACAAGGGGCCTTCTATAAAGTATATCATGTATATCATGGTATTTTAGGAAAAGTTTTACCCCCTTCCGCTTCACGTCACAATCTGTCAAAAACTCAGTATGTCACACTTTAAAACTATACAATTTTTATAAATTTAAAAAAATTAACTACGACACACTTGAATATGAAATTCATGAAAGTGACATCTTCTGTCAGAAATATAAAAATGAAAGGACTGCATCACACATTTCTGTCAGAACCCATCTATCACAATGGAAAGTTCAAAATCCTAATCAATTTCAGGTAGTATGGGTAATCTACCACTTCGTATTGGCTATAAAAAAATTATTTTTTGGGTTTGACATGATAGTTTTTTGGCTATTCTATTATTGATAAGATAAATTTCTTTTATTAATCCTAATAAATGAAAAGGTTGGTATTTTTTGGACAGATTAATTTCAGCACATGGATCATAAATATTCTTACAAAGACAACATTTTTTAAACTAGAAAAATTTAACTAAATTAATTTATGAAAAGAATATAACATGTAGCCTAAGGAAAGTTTGACATAGTTTTTCCCCCAGGACAACAATAAAGGGAATATGTGATAAGAACACGGCTGGTGCCAAACTGTCTTTTCAGTTTTTGCACATCCACATATTAGCTACATTCTGTGTGTGGACACCAGTGACAGCATCATTTGGATCAACAAAGGTATGTTGATGAACCACAACAGAGTGTTTGTACTTTCCGTGTCTGAACTAATTTATGTTTGCATAAGCTGCCCATCAGTCTGAGACCATAAGTGAATGTTGTAGAATATATCACTCTGCCAGACTATACACTCCTGTAAAGTGATTGCCTGTCAGTCTGGAATATCAACAAGAAAACAGCCCACCCCCCACCCTCTTTTTCAATACCAGCTGAACCCAGTGGCTCTCTCTTTACTGCCCACAATGATATTTTGGGAAAAATAGCACTTCAGATATAAAAAATACAATTGATTTTTTAATAGCCATTGCTTAAGTGTAATGTTACAGTTACTGGCATTACATGTATGATCAGAAATGAAAAAAAGTGTGATGTCACACAAGATCTTTACCTCCTTCCCTTGTGTCACAACTTGTCACACTTTTGAGACCCCCCCCCCCTCTCTTCTGCATGTTTACAGTTACTGGCATTAAATGTATGATCAGAAATGAAAAAAAGTGTGATGTCACACAAGATCTTTACCCCCTTCCCTTGTGTCACAACTTGTCACACTTTTGAGACCCCCCCCCCCCTCTCTGATGCATGAAATATTAAGTCATCTAAATGGATAGCCCAAAACAAGTAAGAGACCTCACCTAGATTAGTTCAGATTAAAATAATAATAATAATATTAATTAATAAATTAATAAAATTAAAACTGCTGGATTAGTCACACTTCACTAGTTTAGTTTAGAGTTTACTTAGGCTAGGGCTGACAAGACTGGGGGGCTGGGGGTGAGATGACAAGGTCAGCTGCTACACGCTAACCTTGTCATCTGTATAATATACAGTATATTGTTATTGTATTTATATGTTGGCTAACAACCACATCAATCAAAGGTTGACTATAACTTATTAATAATGAGTAATAATGAGTAATAATGAGTAGTATTATTTTAATTAAAGTAGGCCTACTCAGAAACAAATGAGAGTGGAGTTAAAGTCTGGCCTATTTATAAAAATCAACTCTTAGTTAAGTCTAAGTTGACTAATCTTTCGACGCTTTAGCCTAGGTGAATAAAAAGTCAAAAGTTTTTTAGTTTTAAGTTAATTTTAAGTCTAGGTCTTTTAAGTCAAACAAGTCTTAGTTGTCTTCTTACTTTCAGTAATCTTAGTACTCTTCTTAACTTACACTTATTAAGTCTTAGTAACCTCTTAACTTAGACGAAGACTAAGTGATTAGTCAGTCAGTGTTATATTTTATTTACTTTACTATTTAATAATTTTTAAGACTTTTACTTTGCCTACTTTTTAGGCTGCGGCTATTCGTGCCCGGGATTCAAGAGTGAGAGGTTGGGTTTATTAAAAAATACTAAAAATAATATTGTTAACTCTTTCGATGCGGAACAACGCACACTGCGTTCTTCCGCCGTTCTCAAAAGCACAGACCAACGCGCTGTGCGTTGTTTCAATATCATGTTTCTTTCTTTGCTATTTCTCGGTTAAACTTTTTAAGAGTTATTTTTAAATAAGACTTTTACATAGAAGAGTGGTACTTCATTGTTTACAATTGAAACCAAGGCTTATTTATTGTCAATTGAAGCATTATTTTGGCGATTTTCTTCGCGGTTTTTTTTTTTTACTGTTGCTATGGCTACCCTAGGCTCTGGTAGATAAATTTCCTAGACGATTAACAGTTAAAAAAGCTTTGAAATTGTTTTATAATATTTCCTTTGACAGCGAAGATGATTTATATTTAGATGCATCGCATGATTCCGATGGTAGTAGTTTTAGAGGAATTTAGTTATAGAATTGAAGATGAGGTATGCTTACATCGTTGGGTTTGGGGAAAAATGGTTTAGCATAAAATGTTTTCACATTTTATGGTTCTTTCGTGTCACTTATTTTTTTTAAACTGTAGAAACTAGTGTACAAATATATAGTCCTTTCAATTACCTTTCACTTGATACTAACTTTAGTCTCATAAACCAAAGAATAATATTTTAAATATTTTTTAATAAACCCAACCTCTCACTCTTTTTCCACTCTTCGAAAAAAATGTACATTTTTTTAATGAAAAAATTCCGCAGCGAAAGAGTTAAGGGACTATGACTAAATGAAATGCTATTCGAATATCATATTATATGTCATAGTTTATTTTAGTTAAACTGAAGAAGTTTAATAACATATATTCTATTCAATTATCTTTCATTTGATACCAAATTTTGTCTTAGTCTTACAAACCCAACAATAACATTTAAATATTTTTTTTTTAATAAACCCAACCTCTCACTCTTCTCCGGGTCCGCATAGTATAGCCACTCCATAGGTACTTGGATATGAGGCTATTTTGACGTAATCGCGGCCCATAGGGTTTTGAGACGCTTTTTTGGGTGTGCTGGATGATAGGGTTCACTAAAAAATTATTTTTTCGCGCTAGAAACGTCGGATCAACGAACGAATTACTGTTCTAGTTACGTTAATGAACGGGCTTTAACGACATCCATTTTGTTTTCAGTAATATCAGTATGTCGTAAATAAAAAAAAATGTGAGAAAGCAGCTAAGTCTAATTTATCAATATTTTGAAAACTATTCGTTGTCCCATTTTAAATCGACCTGGTGTACCTGTGAAATTGTATAAAATATCACCATGTAAAATTTCAAGTCTCTAAGATGGCCATAACAATGTTATTTTTGGCCAGAACGGGTCTAAAAATTCAAAAAAAAAAAAAAAATGGCCGAAAACGAAAGTGACAAACCGGAAACAGTATTATTTAACTATAGTTGACAGATAAGAAAGCCCAAGACATTTTTTATGCCTTAAGCAATCAAGTTCCATCTTAATTAATATTAGGTTTTATTTCAATATCTATACAATAATAGACATATTAAGTAATATTTTATCAGATACTGCTCCATTTCAAGTTAAATCATAATTTTTATTGTAATATTGCCTCTATTATATTTCCTTTTTAAAAATAAATTACGTTTGGTCTTAATTTTTTTTAAATAATTTTTTTAATTTTTTTTTGTGGAAGTTTTTATAATGACATTAAAAATATTTTTAAAATATTATAATTAATTTTTTTAGTTTTTAAATCAGCAAAGATGTTGCTAATATGATGATGAACACTTCTGGAAAGTTTCATAATATTTGTTCACTCTGCTATAAAGTTATCAGCCTTTTCGTGAAAATTTTTTGAAAAGAGGTCACAAATCTCTATGTTAAAAAAAGTGAGTTTTTATTCACGAAAAAAATCATATCTTTTTAACCAAAAGTGCTACATGAAAAATGAAAACATATTATTACTTCATTTAACAAGAGCTATCTTACAGGTGTGTTCATTTTTTAATTAATTCAATTTGAAAATTTTATCCAAGTACCTACACTCCACTCACTCGTACTTTTTAAGTTTAGTTGAGTTTGAGAACTTGATTAATGATAATAATATAAATGGTACTAACGGTTCTTATTAACGATCCCTCCAATTGACTTCATTAAAAGTTTAAGACACTAATCACTAATTATTGCAAATATTAATTATGATATAAAAAATGAGTGAATGCATGGGTGTCAAGCTTGATGCAGTTCCTTGCAGAAACGTAACTTTTAAAATTAACAATTTCACTTAAATTTTTGAGCCGACTTTTTATACTTACTAACAAATTAAAAAGTGTAACAATTATAAAAGACGGATGTATTTAATATTACTACTGTGAGGAAATTTGGACTTAAGGCCGATTTATGTAGATGTAATTTATTATTTATTAGATGCTATTTCTTATCCGAAAACAGCCCCAAACGCATCGGTCGTCTATAAAGACTCTTTAGTAAATTCCATAAAATTTTAGGAAAATTTCCTTCAATAGCAGTGAAAAAAAAAAAAATACAAAAAACTTCAAAAAATTAATTAAGTTAGGATACTTTTGTTGGTTATCTTATTTTTAAAAAAAATAATAAAATAATAGAAAATAAATATAGCTTGGGGTGGGGTGGGGCGATTTAGTACGAATCAGAATCTGCAGCAGTAATAATTTGCGTCATTTTTATGACATGTGTTCAAAGACAAGATTTATTTATTATGTTTTTTTTTCCTTTGTTTTTGTTTTTTTGTGGGTTTTTTGTTGTTTTGTTTTAATATGTTTCTTCGTGTATATATATACCATTCGTGTATTTATATATATAAAGATTACTGCATTAGTAGCCGTTTTTATTTTTCATAATAATAATATTCATCTTCCAAATTTTTTTAAATATTTTTTTTTAAATATTATATATAATTTAATATTTTTTTTATTTTTTGTTAAATATTATATATAATTTAATATAAACTATAATATATATATATATATATATATATATATATATATATATATATATATATATATATATATATATATAATTTTTAAAAAATATATATATATATTTTTTTATTTTTTTTTATATAATATATATATAATTATATAAAAAATAATATATATATATATATATATATATATATATATATATATATATATATATATATATATATGTATAGTAATGGTATAACAGCAATATTTAAGTTAAAGTTTCAGATCATCCTGATGTGCGCATGCCTGGAGCGTTATTTATGTTAATTCCTTTTGTTTTAAACCAAGCACTGTCACCATTTTTAGGTTTAATCCTACGCCAACTATGGGTCAGCCAACAAAAGGTAGAGAATCCCTGCTGTAGCCTCGAAGGTTTCTTCTTCTGTTCCTTAACAAGAAGTTATTATTTTAGAATAGTCTAGGAATAGGGTGGCCAAATCATGAACTGGAATAAACGGGACACACCCAAGGAGGGTTTTGGAGGGGGGGGGGGGTACCCCCCCGCTAAAGATGGGTCCGGGGGGGCTCCGCCAGAAACTGTTTATTGAAATGTGCTCATTTGAACTTGTTTGAGACCCAGAAATCTTTTTTTAATTTAACTTCACTTGTGTAATTTTATTTAAACTCTGAAAACAATAATTTTGCCGTGAATATGGCAGGGACTTTGTCTTTTACGCAGCGTCGGCAGAGTGGCGGGGGGGGGGGACAATGCAGCCATCACGCGAGCCCACATCCCTACTGGCACTGGCTACACAGCTAGCCAAAATATTACTTGGAGTTATATAATAATTGAGGAAGTTTTAGTGATGTGAAAATGTGTTTTGGTTTTACAAACGAGACATTTCGGCGTCCCGAGAGACTTTTTCAGGACACCGGGTACGATTGTGAAAAAACGGGACAATCCCTGATGTTCCCGTTTTTTTTCCCAGACATTTGGTCACCCTAGCCCCAGACGACATTCTCTTTCGATTAGTGACACATATCACCACGCATGTTGACCTACATTTGTGGTGTGCGTAAAGAGTGGGGTCATGACGTCAGGCAGGATGCGTTGTTATTGTTTTCCTTTACGTGTGGGAGATGTGTTCTCATGATGATAATAAAAATAAAAGCTTCTCTCTCGCATTCAGAATAATTGGAGGATGGGGGGGGGGGGTTATAACTTTAAAGATTCAGTGGGTTATCATAAACATAAGCTTGCGAAGGATCCTCAAAATGAGATTGTTTGGCACAATTTGTAACGCTGTCCTTTGGTGGAGGACATCAAGTGCTCGAGAGGGTACTGAGATACTATCGTGCTAACACTGTCCTGAGGGGGGGGGAGAGAACAGCAAGTGCTCCAGAGGGTACTCAGATACTATCATGCTAACACTGTAGTGGTGGGGGGACGGACATCAAGTGCTCGAGAGGGTACTGAGATACTATCGTGCTAACACTGTCCTGAGGGGGGGGAGAGAACAGCAAGTGCTCCAGAGGGTACTCAGATACTATCATGCTAACACTGTAGTGGTGGGGGGGGGACATCAAGTGCTCCAGAGGGTACTGAGATACTATCATGCTAACACTGTCGTGGTGGGGGGACGGACATCAAGTGCTCCAGAGGGTACTGAGATACTATCATGCTAACACTGTCGTGGTGGGGGGACGGACATCA